CATGGCTTGTATTGGAGGTCGTACTCGCTGAGCTCAATGGCCCACTTCGTTAGTCGACCAGAGACCTCGGGCTTGAGTAAGACTTGCCTCAGAGGTTTGTTGGTGAGGACGATAACAGTATGAGCCTGAAAGTACGGACGGAGTTTTCGGGCCGCAATAACCAGTGCATATGCCAGTTTTTCTATCTCCAGATATCTTGTCTCTGCTCCCTACAATACTTTACTAACATAGTAGATAGGTCATTGGATCCGATCTACTTCTTTTATTAGTACTGAGCTGACCACTTCGTCACTTGCCGAGAGGTACAACTCTAAAACATCGCCCTCTTCGGGCCGAGCTAAGACCGGTATGCTAGCGAGGTACTTTTTGAGCTTGTCAAACGCGAGCTGACAATCTTGGGTCCATTCAAACCCTTTGCTTTTAATTGCTTTAAAGAAAGGTAGGCAGTGATCTGCCGATTTGGACATGAAGCGGCTCAAAGCGGCTACTCGGCCATTCATCCTCTGAACCTCCTTCATTTTTCGGGGTGGTCTCATATCTAGGATGGCCTTTATTTTGTCCGGGTTGGCTTCAATGCCACGCCGGTTTACGATGTATCCCAAAAATTTACTCGAGGTGACACCAAAGACACACTTATTCGGGTTTAGCTTCATATTGAATCTACGCAGGATTTCAAAAACTAAATTCAAGTCTTGTATTAAATCACATGAGAACTGGGTTTTGACGACCATGTCGTCTACATAACATTCTACTTTTTGGCCAATCAATGGCTCAAACAGTTTATTTGTTACAAGTCTTTGAAAGGTCACCCCGACATATTTTAGCCCAAAGGGCATGACCTTGTAGTAGTACAAGCCAAGCTCGGTTATGAAGGCAGTCTTTTCTTCATCTGTTGGGTCCATCCTGATCTGATTGTAGCCCGAATAGGCATCTAGAAAGCTCAGCAACTCGTGACCCGAGGTCGGGTCCACCAGATGGTCGATTCTGGGGAGTGGGAAGCAGTCCTTTGGGTAAGCTCGGTTCAAGTTGGTGTAGTCGACGCACATGCGCCATTTACCGTTAGCCTTTTTCACCAGAATGGGGTTGGCCACCCAGCTCGGGTAGTGGACTTCCCTGATAAAATTGGTTGCAAGGAGCTTCCCGACCTCCTCGTCGACTGCTCTCCATCGCTCTGTGGCTAAGTTGCATTTCTTCTGTCTAACGGGCCTAATTATAGGATCAATATTAAGCTTATGAGTTATGATGTTAGGGTCTATGCCGTGCATTTTTGCCGCAGACCATGCAAAAACATCTAAATTTTCAAGTAAAAAGCGTAACAGTTTAGATCGTAGAGGCTCCTCAATTGAAGCACCGATATGAAGAGTTCAGGCTGGGTCCTCCGTCGAGGCTGGGATGGAGTCGGTCTCTTCTGTGGGCGCAGCTCGCTCCTCGCTTTGCTCCGTAGGTCGCTCCAACTCGAGGTCATCAGCCACCTTGGCTTTCCCTTTAAGGGCGGCGACGTAGCACTTGCGAGACTCAAGCTGGTCATTTCACGCTGTCCCGATTCCGAAGTCCATGGGGAACTTCATGGCCAAGTAGTAGGTGGACACCACAACCCGTAAGGCAAGGGTAATTGGCTGACCTACTATGGCGTTATACGGGGAGGGGGTTGCGACCACTAAGAAATCATGGTTGAGCCTCACTATGCTAGGCCAAGTGCCGACCTCCACAGGTACTGTAATCCTTCCGAAGGGCCTAACTTCCTCTCCGTTGAAGCCTACCAGGGGAGTGTTTGCGGGCTTTAGGTTGCTCTCCTGGAGCTGCAGTTGGTCGAAGACTGCTTTGAAGAGGATGTCTGCCGAACTGCCTGAGTCAACGAGGATGCGCCTGACTTCGAAGTCATTGATCTTCACCTTTATGACGAGCGCGTCATCATGGGGGTAATGGACCCCGCGTGCATCATCTTTTGTGAAGAAGTTGGGATCTTCCATCCTTAGCTGCTTTGGGGGGTTCTGCTCTTCCCTGGCCGCTTCACGAGCTGGTGCGCGAGCTGCAGTTGAGGTGCAACCTGCAACAATCGAGCCTCCTACTATGACGTGGATGGTCCCCCGAATTGGTCTCTCTTCGGGGGGCTGCTTCTGCGGCTGTTCCGCTTGCTTGCTGGACTCGGGAGCATCCCTACTCTGCTCCCCTTGCCGACTTGCTTTATTATTATTATTATTATTACTTTGTACAAAATTTCTCAAATATCCGCGACGGATGAGTTCTTCTATCTCATCGCGGAGGTTTTTACAACTTTCGGTGCTATGACCGTGATCTTTATGAAAGCTACAGTACATATTTTTATTTCTAACATTAGGGTCCGCCTTCAGTCGAGGTGGCCACTTCACGTACGGGGCATCTTTGATTGCCATGAGGATCTTGGCCCGCTTCGCGTTGAGGGGCGTGTAGTCCCTTTCTGCTACTGGAGCCCGGAAAGGTTGATTTGGCTTTGCCCCCCGAGCTTGGTCTTTCTTCTTCCTACTGTCTTCCTGAGATGGGGGCTTTGATTCCCTCTTCCTTTTCTCAAGGGCCTGCTCGCCCTTTTGGTTGATTTCCTCCTCCGTCCCTATGAACTGGTCTGCGAGCTTGAGGAACTCGATCACAGTCTTGGGTTGATTGACAACTACGTGCAACTTGAACTCTTTGTGGGTGATACCTCGCTTGGCTGCGGTGAGGTGAACTGCGAGATCCAGGTCGGGTATTTGTAAACGAGCGTCGTTGAACCGCTTGATGTAACTTCGAATGGACTCCCCTTCCTTTTGAACTATGCCGAGGAGGCTTTCCTGAGTTCTCGGGCACCTTTTGCTGGTGACGAAGTGGGAGGTGAAAACTTACACGAACTGTGCCCAGCTTCTTATTGAACCAGGCGCGAGGTTACGGTACCATGTGCGAGCTACCCCTTTGTAGGTGGTGGAAAAGGCCACGCACATGCAGGATTCACTGGCAAGAGCCAGGTGCATCTAGGACTGGAAGGCGTCCACGTGATCATTTGAATCGAAGGATCCATCATACTTGTCCAGCGGGGGGAGCTTGAAGTCCCTTGGCATGGGGACAACAAGGAGTTCTGGAGATAATGGGGAAGAAATTGAGAGGAGAGGGGTAGCTTTCACTTCACCTGAGCATACCTCCTCTTTTCCTTTGAGCTCGGGAGAGACTCGGGTAGTAGTTCAGCAAGCTCGCCGGCGTCTTCGCTGCTGCTTTGCTGGCTTGACGTTGGTGCTTGATAATTCAGTGTCGTCGAGCTCGACGGGCTCGGACTGCTAGTGGTGGCTCTGAACTGAAGGGCCCTGCCTATAGTCTGCGGCCAGGACCTCGAACGAATTCTCTACGAGCGGGAGCTCGAATTGCGAAGGCTGGGGCGATACGGGCTTGGTTGGCTGGCAGGCCCCCGACCTGCCCATGGGTTGCGAGGCGGGAGTGGCTGGCCTCTCCTTCTGGCTATGGGAAGAGGCTTGGCTCTTGGCGAAATCCTAGGCTTGGGAGGCCTCTCCCTGACGAGGTCGTTCACTCCAGTGGGAAGGCTTGGTCTGCTTCGTGGTCGGATGCCGATGGGGAAGCGACGACTGGGCCTGAGGCACAGAAGGAAACAGCTGTTGATACTGGTATTGGGAAACCTGGTGCAACACTTGTTGTTGATAGAGTTGGAATTGTTGAAATTGTTGCATTTGAGCTTGCATGGCTCGCATGCACTGCATTAAGTCCTCCAACTGGTTCGGGTTTGCCGTTGGGGGCACAACTGAGGGTTCAACAAAGGTTGCGGAGCAACCGTGGGTGCTAGTGCGAGAGGCATGTTCAAACTGGGAACTCCGTCCACGGAGAGCGTTGCGTTTCTTAGTCGCGAGCTACATTGTAGCGAGCTACCCTGTCACGTAGCGAGCTATCTTGTCACGAGCTACTTCGTAGCGAGCTCCCAGGGGTATTTTGAGGTGACTCTCATTGGGATTGCCTTTGGGGCAGTCTTTCTGCCTAAGTGTTGGAGCGAGCTGGTTACCCTAGCTCGCGAGTTGGGATAGTCTTGGAGTATTCCCTTTCGGTAGCTCGGGGGACCTTGAGCTCGCGCTGTAGTGAGCTCCCCCTATAGCAAGGTATGACGTAGCGAGCTATCCTGCAAGCTCGTTACTTAGTCGTAGTCTGGTTGCAATGCTGAGCTGTTGCTCGTGCTGAGTCAGGTCCACGTGTCATTGTTTTAAGGGGTCATGTCAAATCATCCTCCATCAGGCGTGAATAGTAGGGGTGATCATTTCAGCCTAGCCTGGCTCGACCTACACAAACTCGATTCAAAAATTCTGGGATTGGGCCTAGGTTTTGTGTTTAGGCCCGACCTAGGCCTGGGCCCACATCTGGCCCACAAATTCTAGGGTTAGGCTTGGGCTTAATACGTCAAGCCCGACCCGACCTGCATATATTTAAACTTACGCATTTTGTGTATAATGTATACATATATATATAATATATGTTATTTTACATTATATTATATATTTTATATATAAATATTATAACAAGATATGCATAATTTATATTATATGTAATATTTTATATTATACAATGTATAAAATAAGTTTATATGCATGTTATGTCATTTAATATAAAATATTATCGATATGAAAGACATTAGCCTAGAATTAGGTCCAACCCAGCCTAGGCCTGTATAGACCTGGATTAGGGCTTATGTTTGAGCTCAAAAACTTAGGCCAGATTGGGCCTAAGCCTAAACTATAGCCCTTATCATAAATGCAGAACCCAATCCGAGCCCAGCCTGACGTGGCTCATGATCACCCTAGTGAATAGGTGAATTGCCCAGAATGTGCCCCGCGCAAAAACTATGTCAACAGCCCATGCTCTTGGGCCCAAACAGCCAAAGTTATCCCAATGGGTCCTTCCCTAAATATATAAGTTTAATGTCATGTCGGATGGCCCACTTATCGGATATTAAAGTGATACGTCGACAACCCAGGCTATCATAATTAGACAGCCAAAACCATCTTTGCCTCTTCGGCAATCGGCGATATAAATGGGTGCATTCCCAAATCCGAGCAGAAGCGAGAAAATAAGGAATCGAATATGGCTTCTTTGCCTCTACTCCGCCTCTCTCTCAACCCTTCTCCCCAAGCCCTAAAGAAACCCTACGTCTCTTCTCCATTACTGGCCGTCCGATTATCCCGCCCTCTTAGATCAACCGTGAGGGTCCCTCGCCCGAGACCTCAACTACCGGCATCAAAGACGATTTGTATGTCCTATCAGCCGGTTCCCGCCACCGAGAGGTTGATCTCCTCCGTCGCCTACTTTCTCCCCTTCTTCAACGGCTTGCAGTACGGGCGCTACCTCTTCGCCAAATACCCTGACTTAGGCCTTTTGTTCCAGCCGATTTTCCCGTTGCTGAGCTTCTACAGGTCGATCCCATACGCGGGTTTCGTGGCGTTCTTCGCTTTGTATCTGGGTGTGGTGAGGAACCCTAATTTGAGCCGGTACGTGAGGTTCAACTCGATGCAGGCTGTGGTGTTGGATGTTTTGCTAGTTCTTCCATTGCTTTTTCAGAGGATTTTTAATCCGAGCAAGGGATTAGGGTTTAAATTGGTGGTGATGGGTTATAATGGGCTCTTTGTATTCATTGTTGCTTGCTTCTTGTATAGCTTAGGGTTTTGTATTCTTGGGAGGACTCCCTACCTTCCCTTTGTAGCTGATGCTGCCGATAGGCAGCTCTGAGCAATCAATCCATCGTTAATTTGAAATGGGTATTTCGATTTTTGTAGAATCATATTTTTTTTATCATTACGCTGTTGTTAAATTAATTGGTTTTCTCAGAAGCTCTTTCTGTGGTGTAAGTATCTCGGATCTCATTTAGATGCCTCCTACTTCACTGCTCCTAGTCTTTCACAGAGAGCCATTCTTGCTGTTGATTCAATGTTTCGTTTTCTCTGCAAGAAAGTCTCTGTGACGGGAACAGGACTTATGTTTTCTTAAATATCCATGTCTCATCTCTCATGTATATCTCAAACTCTACAGTGAGCATACCTTCCTGCCGTTAAGTCTCTTGTAATGTCGTGTTAAAGTAGAATAAACCTCCAATCCAGACTCCAGAGAGAAGTCGGAATTAGTCCTTCCCGGCCTTCTTTCGAAGAAATGGGTTCACCAATGCCTAGACTACAAAAATCAACAGCCAATGGATATTCGTGAGAACCACTCAAAGCAGAACTTCGAAGCTCAAACTCCAATATTTCTATGGCATAAAGCTTTCATGTCCATCATTACAAAAGCTTCTAACTTTTTTTTTTTATTTTTTTTTGATTTTTGGACTGCACTCCCCCTCACAAACTCTTTTTCTGAGAGAACGGAAAAAGGGGCCACATGAACATGAGACAGAGAAACATTAGAATGAGCATGATTTGCATGCCAATATGCAACCTTGTTTCTTATCTAAAAATGTGTTGATACTCCATTGAAACCTCCATTCTTTCGGGTTCTATCTACCCCCCAAAAACATCCCACGCATTGTGGGTGCGCTGCATGTCCTCCCACATGCGAACTAAAGGGACTCGTGCGGAACTAACGGGATGGCCGTTAGTTCTACCCTGTTAGCTCCCTCTTGACCCAAAGGTCATCATGAAGGAATGGAAAGATCCATCGTATGGACGCTCGGATAATGCGAAATGGAATAGGTGAATTTCAAAAATTTTTCCTTCATACAATTGGAAATCACATTCCCTATTTTAGAAAACTAATTTTYAAGGATCAATCTTGAATTAAGAACCGAACCAGATCTGAATAAAAACAGTAGGAGAGGGAAATACCTGATACGGAGAATTAGTATCCCCCAACGAAAGTATTCACGCTCAGAAAAGTCACCAAAGACTGTTCCCACTGAACATGACGCAGTGTAGGACGGAGCAGAATCAACAACGTTCTTCACAATAACTGGATCCTTCGCAAGAACCCACTGGACGACAGATGAGCACAACTTCTTTTCAATTCTTCTATAAAGAACTGAAATCAAGAACGCTTCTTGATGACTCTCACGTGAGTAGAGACGAATTGCTAATGGTGGCGGCGGCAGGAATTTGGCGCAGTCTCACTGTATGCTGATTTCTCTCTTTTGTGTTGTATCTATATCTCAGATGAGTGTATTTAGAGGCTGCCGCCCCCTCCTTTTATAATCCTAAAGGGATCAGTTCCTAATCCTATTAGGAGAAGTTGATCCCCTTAAGTGATAAGGTAGAGTCCTTATCTAATCTGCAGATTTTGATCAGTCCTCTTAATTTGATTAGGAGTTTCCAGTTTTGAATCATATTCAAATCTGGACTCTTACTGAGTGGATATGGACTTTCTCTTATCCTTTAAAGCTGGTCCATATCTCAAATTCGCCCCATTCAAGTCAATCTAATTATCCCAGCTCGTATTGGGCTTTTGGCCCATTAAATGTATGTCTCACTTAAGTTTTCCAAATTGCTGCCTAGTTGGGCTTTCTCTATATGGCGTGGGACCCAAACGTTGATCTATACATCAGCTACAAGGGTTTGGCCCAGCCTCTGTCACAAGGCCTAGCCGAATTCACTAGAAAGCCCAGTGAACCCCTTGAGCCCATCATATGGACTCTATGAGCCCAACACTTACACTAAGTGGTCATTGGGCCAAGCCACCTTGTAACACCCAAGGACTGTGGGCAGATGCAAGATTAGCCCATCAGGTTTAACCCTCTATGGCCTTACACTTAACATCTCAGCCCATAATAATCAAACACTGCCCGACAAGGGAGGACATCTCCCCCGACTTCAAGGTATGGTGCTGCACTCTCCTCTTATATGGACCCTGGGGATTAAAATATTTTGCAAACAATTTTGGAAACCTATAATATATATTATATTGTATAAATATATTTTGTAAAACAAAATTTCAACGATTGAAATAAATTGCCGGCAGTTTTAGTTTCCATCAGAGAGAGTGCATTTCCCCAATCATTACCTTTGCTCGACAAAGGGGCTGATCCTGTCACTATAATCACCCACTTAGATGGGTTCATGAATCATCTCAACATACCCAGGTTTTCACCCCCTCCAAAGGTCTCACTGATTGGCATATCAAAGATGGCCCAATCCGCCACCTAGTGCGGTGCCATAATCGAGTCTAGGGGTCAGGTGTAACATTCCAGTTTTGCCCACTAATCGCCAAGGTCTAGGGCAATACTGGAATTTTGGTCTGGTTCAAGGTATCAAGGTGATTCCACATTGCATGTACCTCGGGTTTCATCCTGGTGGTAGAGATAGGCCACCCCAACCGACTTGGCGGCACATCAGTGTCAGTCTTATTAGGATAGGTCTCCCCAGACCGACCCACTGGCTATGAACGTTCTAAATCAACACAAGTCTCATAAGTTTCCGATTTTAAGGACACAAAAACACACCACATGACATGATTCAAATATGCACTTTATTCATTTACAATAAATGTCATAAGTAAATCAAACTGATTTGAGCTAAGGGCATACAAAACTGTCTAACAACTTCCACTTGCACTCAGGTCCAATCTGGAATAAGCCGGAGTCCCATACTTTTCACGTGTTTCTCAAACATTTTCTGTGTTAGTGGCTTAGTCAATGGGTCAGCAACATTCTCCGCTGAAGCTACCTTCTGAATCAGGACGTCCCCTCTACCAACAATCTCCCGCAGTACGTGATACTTTCTCTCGATATGCTTGGATTTCGAGTGGGTTCGTGGCTCCTTAGCCTGAGCAATGGCTCCATTGTTGTCGCACAACAACGGGATGAGTGATGTGCTGGATGGAATTACTCCCAACTCTTGGATGAACTTCCTCATCCACACGGCTTCCTTGGCAGCCTCACTTGCGGCAATGTATTCGGCTTCGGTTATGGAATCCGCCGTGGACCCCTGTTTGCTGCTTTTCCAATAAACAACACACAATCCTATCGTGAATACTTAACCAGATGTAGACTTTCTATCAGATGTAGACTTTCTATCATTTGGGTCTGACTGGAAGTCAGCATCAGTATACACTTGGATCTGTAGTGATGTACCATCGAAAACTAGACAACTCTTTTGTCATACGAAGGTATTTAATTATGCATTTCGCAGCGGTCCAATGCACCTACCCTGGGTTGGCCTGAAATCTGCTTACTACACTCACTGCGTGAGCAATATCGGGGCGAGTGCACAGCATGACATACATGATGCTCCCCACGGATGAGGCATAGAAAACATTTTTCATGTCCTCGATCTCCTAAGATGTCTTGGGATCCCTTTTTGGAGTTCTCCATGCTGTACCTTTTGACAATTTTGTCAATGTAAGGAGATTGGGATAATTCTATTATCCGCTTCAATCTATCTCTATAGAGTCGAAGACCTAGTATATAAGATGCTTCTCCAAGGTCTTTCATGAAGAATTGCTGTGAAAGTCATATTTTGACCGAGGTCAACATCCTCACATCATTCACAATGAGTAGGATATCATCCACATATCGAAACAAGAACGTAACCTTATCCCCATTGGACTTCCTGTATACACAGGGCTCATCTGGGTTCTGCTCAAAGTCAAATGTTTTGACGGCAGAGTCAAATCAGATGTTCCAACTCCTAGAAGTTTGTTTGAGTTCATATATGGATCTATTAAGTTTACATACCATGTGTTCCTGACTACAGCCACAAAGCCTTGCGGCTGCTGCATATAAATATTTTTAGTAAGATCTCTATTCAGAAACACGGTTTTAACATCCATTTGCCAAATCTCGTAGTCATGGTATGCTGCTACAGCTAGTAGGATCCTAATGGATTTAAGCATGGCCACAAGCGAAAATGTTTCCTCATAATCGATGCCCTCTTTCTGAGTATACCCTTTTGCCACCAAGCGAGCCTTGTAGGTCTCAACATTGCCATCGAGGCCTTTCTTCCTCTTATAGATTCATTTGCAACAAATTGCTTTTACCCCTGCGGGCGGATTTATTAGAGTCTAGACTCCATTGGCCTCCATTGAGTCCATTTTAGCTTTCATGGCATCTACCCACTTCTGGGAATCTATGTCCAACATAGCTTCCGCGTAAGTCACGGGGTCCTCACTAGTCAAGGCTTCCACCAGGTAACTATCTTGGTCATAACCATAACGGACTGGTGGCTTGGATACCCGGGTAGATCTTCTAGGTTGGTCACTACCTAGAACATGTGGGATATCTCCCACTACTCCTAAGCTCTCATCATCAAGAATAATTTCCTGACGATGATTGTTTAGGATGTAATCCTCCTCAAAGAAATGGGCATTCCGACTACAGAACACCTTTTGTTCTTCTGGGTCATAGAATAGATAGCACATAGAGCTTTTGGGGTAGCCCATAAATAGGCAACGACTGGTTCGGGATTCCAATTTTTCCAGGCTCGTTCTTTTAACGTGTGCCAGACAACCCCAAATCTTCAAGTGTCTGACATTTAGTTTCTTTCCGCTCCAAAAAGTTCATATGGAGTGCTCGGAACCGATTTGGTTGGAACCCTATTCAACACATAAATCGCAGTCTCTAATGCGTATTCCCAAAAGGATGTGGGTAACTCCGAGTGTGCGAGAAGTGATCGGACCATATCAAGTAAGGTCCTATTCCTCATCTCTGAGGCACCGTTAAGTTGTGGTGTAGCAGGAGTTAACTGTGATACTATCCCGTTGACATTTAGGTAGTCCCTGAATTCGTCAGAGAGATACTCGTCACCTCGATCAGATCGAAGGGTCTTAATTTCTCTTCCCAAATGTTTATCGACCTCCTGTCTAAACTCTTTGAACTTTTCAAAGGATTCAGACTTGTGTCTCATTGGTACAC